GATTCTGGGGCTGGAGATGTAGCTCTGTAGTAAAACACGTGCCTAACAAGTACAAGGCTCTGAGTTCAAACCTTAGTGCTGCCAGAAAGAGATGAGTCAGGGGAGGGAGGCAAGATTCTAGGTCACTCCACTTGGAGCTATTAACACATTCCATAGATTTATGCATTACTCAGGTGCCTGAGACCTGAAGGACCACAGTTCAAAACCAGCCTAGACAGAAAAGCCTGACTCCATTTCTAAATAATCAACAAAAAGCAGGGCTAGAGGTATGGCTCAAGAAGTAGAGCATCAGCTATGAATAAGTTAACAAGAGCCTGAGGCCCTGAGTTGGAGGTCTGATACCAATATAAAAAAATAAATAAAGGTTTGTGCTTTTTTTTGGGGGGTAGTCACGGGGATTGAACTCAGAGCATGGGCAACATTTCTGAGCTTTTGCACTCAAGGCCAGCACACTTCTAGTTTTCTGATGGTTAATTGGAGATAACACTCTCACAGACTTTCCTGCCCCAACTGGCTTTGAACTGCAATCCTCAGACCTCAGCCTCCTGAGTAGGTAGGAGGTGTGAGCCACCGGTACCTGGCAAAGGTTATTTTTCCTGCATAAAAAAAAAAACAGAAAAAGAAAAGAAATATATTCTAGAAGAATCACCCAAAAGCAGACTATTTAAATGAGCAGATCTAGAGGAAACAAAGCAGGAGGCTACAATGCTTGGTAAGAAATGTGCTCATTATCTTACCCACGTAATTGTAACCCCTCTGTACAGTATTTTCACAGTAAAAATATATTTAAAAAATAAATGAGCAGATCTATCTAACACAGCAAAGAATGGAGCTAAGAAAACCCCAAAAATGTTTTTCCTCCATGATTCAAAAGAATTACTTCTGATTAATATCAATCTATGGTCCTACTTCAGTCCTTGAAGTAAAGAGATAAAATCATTGCTTGTATTAGAAACTTTCATTTTTTCCAAAAAGGCTTTCATTGCCTCATCTATAATGCTTCTAAAATAGTAGTCCTTTACTAATAACCAACTTTCACGGTTTGCCTAAGACTAGAAGTTTCTTAGGATATGTAATTTCCAGTACTCAGGACCATCCTGGAAAAATTAAGAATGCTTGGTCACCCTGTCCTGGACCATCTGAGATGAAGGTGGATGGGTCTACCCCCTACCCTGGGGTAGACCTCACAAGAGATTCATCTAATGGTCCTGCTTGTCTTGGTTCACCCCAGATCACTGGGCTCAGCCTCGCTAGTGAGGGCCTGAATGCTGGGGCTGTTTAATAGCTAGCAGAGACTAAACACTTTTGCCCTAAAGATTTGGATTCAGAGGACCTAGGCTCCCATCTTGCCTAGCGATTAGCTCACATTTTTTAAGAACTCTCCCAGGAAAGTCTTACATACACCACATTTTGATAAACCACCAAATTCTTATGTGATGCACATGCATTGGATGTGCTTCACTGAATGTGTTGTATGTGTTAGGCTTCTGGAAAGAGATGGAAGCGTGGAAAAAGGCTATACACAATCCTATTCTGGGCGCCTCCTCAGCAAGGAATAATGACCTATAAGTTGTTCCAACATAGTATACTATGATTTAGATTAAAAAGTAGGTCAACACCATCACAGTGGTTATAGCTCTTCAGTTGCCAGAAGCCATGTGGTAGACTACAGATGGTGTATATTATTTTCGATTCCTCCCACTGAGACATGGGGTTGGTTTCTTCTCCCCTTAAATTATAGGACTGGCCCTGTGACTGGGTCTAACCAACCTAACATGGCAGAAGAAGTGCTGAGAACCTTCCAGGGTTAGGTTCTTTAGAAATGCTCCCTCTTTAAAGCCTGACTTTAGATAAAAATTTGACTACCTGGGACCACCATGCTTTGAGGAAGCCCAACCCACCCACCGGGAGACAGAGGCTATGCAGAAGAGCACCAAGATGCCTGACCCACGAATGAAACTTCTTGGACCTCCCAACCAAGAGCACAGCCAAGTGATTGACCCCAGCTAAGAGCACATGGAGAAGAGCTCAGCTGAGCCCTTCCCAAATTCTTTACAAACTGGGTCATGACAACATTACATGGTGGATGTTTTAGGTCACTAGATTTTGAAGTGATTTGTTATATAGCAATAGCTACCAATACACCTCATCAGGACAGAATGTCATCTCACATCCTGCCTTGACATGAACCTCGGTCATCCTTGTGTCCCTCTATACAGAATAGACTGCTAAGTCTCACCTGAAGCAGTCTCCCAAAGTAGTCTCTACCTCTACTTGAAAGCTCACATCTGTAATCTTAGCTATTCAGGGGGCTAAGATCTGAGGATCACCGTTCAAAAAAAGCTCAAGTAGATAAATCCAAGAGACTCATATCTCTAACTAACTAGCAAAAAGTCAGAAGTGGAGCTATGGCTCACTTGGCACAGCACCAGCTTTGAGTGGCAAAAGCTAAGGGACAGAGCCTAAGCATGAAGTTCAAGCCATAGTACTGGCACAAAAACAAACAAACAAAAACACAATTCTAGAGGAATTCAAAGTATCTATACTAAACTCATTTGGTCCCACAGGAAATAGTGAGAATCTACTTTGCAAATTTGGTACTAGAAATAAATAAATTTATTTTTCAGTAAAACCCTTACAACAGTGTCTAGAACATAATTAGTATCAAATATATATTTTTATTTTATTTTATTTTGCTGGTCCTGGGGCTTGAACTCAGGGCCTGTTCACTGTCCCTGAGCCTTTTTGCTCAAGGCTAGTGTTCTACCACTTGAGCCACAGCTCCACTTCTGGCTTTTTGTGATTAATTGAAGATAAGAGTCTCATGGATTTTCCTGCGTGGGCTTAATTCAAAGTGATCCTCAGAAGTCAACTTTCTGAGTTAGCTAGGATTATAGGTGTGAGTCACTGGCACCAGGTTCAAATAAATATTTTTAAGTAAATGATATAAGTCTATAGTAAGCCATGGCCTCCTCTGTTTTAGCTTACCTAATCTCATTTGTTCTTTCTTTGAACAAAGCATCTCCCATTTTCCTTTTGTACAGTGTGCCACAGAAAGACTAAGGATGGGCCCGGAATGTGTCTAAGTGATAGAGTGCTTGCCTAACATGCCCTCGGTTTGACACCTCAGTACCACATAAACAGAAAAAGCCAGAAATGGTGCTGTGGCTCAAGTGGAAGGGTGCTAGCCTTGAGCAAAAGAAGCTCAGGGAAAGGCCAAAAAAAAAAAAAAAAGGACTAAGGATGGAGAGAGGTATGCCTTCTTTCGTAAAGCCAAAGACAGACAATGAAAATTGAGCTCAAAGGAGAATTTACAAGGATCTTGACAAGCTGACTGCTTTTAGGAACTACCTAGAAACAGGTTCCTTCAAAGTTTCACTTTTAGGACCACAGGCATAACACACAAACCCTTCCTGGGCACCTACGAAAGTGGCTCTGATCCCTGGCAGCCTAGCCACAACTCCATCTCTTCCTCTCTTACAAAGCACATGGGACTTTGCAAGCAGAATACAAATGTGAATTATTCCTTGCGCTCACAGTTTTCTGCCCTCAGCCTCTCAAATGCTGTGATTATATCTCTCCAGGCTGGATTACCTGGCCCAAGACAATGTGTTTCAAAGCCTTTCATAGTTCCTGGCACTTGCTTAGTTTGAGTGTGTAAACTGAGAAACAACTGAAGGTTTTAGACCCATGCTGGTCTAATGCTTTCCCTTCCATCTCCCTCTATGTTTATTTCCTCCCCTTCCCCCAGCCCCCATAGTTTAGTTCTAAGTTTATAAATCCACCTAGCTAAACTTAAAAAGATGCCTGAAAAAGATCAGGAGTTGCCCAGTAATGTTGCCTATACCTCCTAGCTTACTCAGGAGGCTGAAATCTGAGGACTGAAGTTCCAATTTCAAAGCCAGAGCAGGAAAATCGATGAGATTCTTATCTCCAATTAATCTCTTTTCTCCAATGAATCACCAAGAGTGGGAAGTAGAACTGTGGCTCAGGTGGTAGAGTGCCAGCCTTGAGCCAAAAAGCTCAGGGACAGCGCTGAGGCCTTGAGTTCAAGCTCTAGTGTTCGCACACACCTGCATATACACACAAACACATATACACAGGCACAAACACACAAGTTGTAAGGCAAGGGAGGGACCAATTAGAAAAGGGCTTGGCAGTAAGGGGGGCGGGGCAGGGAGGCAATCAAAGAAGGAGAGAGTACAGATGTTTAGCATCTGTGCCTGGCACCCAACTTTGGTGCTCTGCACATTTTATTTCTCATCATCTTCATAAAAGTACCATTCATTAGATCAGCAATCCGAGCCCCTAGTAAGTACACAGGAGATGTGTATGTAGGAATCTGACTCGATTCCAAAGTAATTTCCATCATGCCAAGCTTGTTGCCCACCAATTTATAGATCCCCCTCCTTCCCTCAGTTCCCCAGACAATCCAAGTATATGCTCAAATAAAGAAAAAAAAATTAATGAATGGCTGGACTGTCTGCACCAGGAAGAAGGAAGCAGAGAAGTAAAGCTGGAAGACAGCATGCTGCCTCCTGGCAGTGCCCAGCGGGGGACAGAGGTTGGCAGAACACAAGGGCTATAAAAGCTGACACAATGGCACGAAGAAAAAACTGGGAGTACAGCTGAGGATGTACTCAGAAGACTAGGTCCTAAATTCCACCCCTTGCATTTCCTGCCCCCCAAAGACTGGGAGTTAAAGGGATCCAAAACATGATCGAGAAGCAGAAAACCAGTGAAGGGGAACGGGATTACCCAGTCATCTCCCCCATCCCCGTTTCCCTGGAGAAGATAGTCCCTGACTCCGGGCCCGCACACTGGCAACTTTTAAAATGAAAGTTGCATAAGACAAAGCAGCCGCTCCAGGTTACTCCGGAAGGGAGGGAGGTTACCCGGCGGCAGCCAGCTTTTACACTCTGGCTCTTCCGGACTTCACCTCCTCCCTCTGATCCCAGCCTCCCCTTACAACTCCCCCCCACCCTCGCTGGGCAGCTCACCTCGGGAGGCCGAGGCAGGGACCGCCCAGGCTGCACAGACTGGTCCCCGTCTTCCAGGTGTCCTGGGCCAATGGATCTCCCTGCTGCTCCAAGATCCCGCCCTGCTAGGTGCCCCTCTGTCCCTCCCTGAACTAAAATCTTCCAGACAGGTTCCTAAAGTGGACAGGGCTTAGGAGGAGAGAGCCTGAGGAAATCCCCTCCTTGCCTTGTGGCCAGGCCTGGGCTGGGCTGGGCTGGGCCAGCCTGCTCTGCAGTCTCACTCCTGGGCTGGCCCTGGATGAATGAGTCCTCCCTCTCTGCCTTGCTTGGGTCCGTGCCAAGGAGCCTGTGACAGCCTCCCTTGCACTTTCTCCTGGGCACAGCTCTCTATGACTCCTCTACGCCCAGCCCTGCTTCCTGGTTGGGCCTCTGCCTCCCCCCCTCCTCCTCAGCACTCTGGGAAAGGCCTCAACAGAATGGTCTCTGTCACTCTGCATGGTGCTCTGGTCTGGAGCCAACCCTAGTGCTGGGCACCAGGCACGGATGACTTAATAGCTCTAGGCAGAGGCTTAGTCAAAGCCCCCTGGGCTCTGTCCACCACACTGGTTTTACCTTGGTCCTTGCTTCAATATGGTTGCCAGTTGGGGATTCTTTATTCAATGGATCTGGGGAATGACCTTGCCTGAGCCAGGTCCTGAGAATGCAGAGGTGGTTTGACATGTGCCTCTCCTCTGGTTCCACTGGCATAACAAAGAGTGAAGCATCTAGTACAACTTGCCCAAGCAGGCAACACAGGCCAGGGAGGACTTCCTTGTGTGGGAGGGTTCTAGAAAAACTCTTAGAAGAGATGACATACAAGATGAACAACTTGAAGTTTAGCACATTGGGCCAGGAAGGCCTTGAGTGTGACTTGCTAAAGAAAAAATTTTAACCAGGCACCAGTGGCTCATACCTATAATCCCAGCTACTCAAGAGACTGAGATCTGAGGATTGCAGTTCAAAGCAAGAAGGTGCAAGCAAAAGCAAGAAGAAAGGCCAAATGCCAGAGCAGATGAGAACTGGTGGAGAGCTAAACCCAAAGGTACATCCTTAGGGGACTGAGGCAGGAGGAGTATACATGAGTCCCAGGACAGGCTCCACTTCATAGCAAGACCCTGCATCAAATCAAACAAACAAAAATAAGTAAGAACTGAGGGAGGAAGACTAGGCAGCTGCAGGGAAGCCCAAAGAATTCCATGGAACAAATAGAGATGGCCAACAGGGATTTATATAGATGTCCTGGTCACTTGCTGGAGTTAAAGAGACTGGGTGAAGATTAGAGGGAAATTGCTGAGTGGAGAAAAGAGTGAGCAATGCAACAAAGAAGCTCACTGAGAGATTCTGGGAACCTGAGCAGCATCACACAGATCAACAAAGAGGCAACAATGAGGGGCTCAGCAGTGAGGAACTTGGGAAATCATGTCCTGCCCTGAGTTTCTGTGTTCCCAAGATCAATACACGTGGGTGAGGGCCAAGGAAATGCCGTCTGGCTGCTGGGCTATTATATATATAAAATGAAAAATGTATATGAGTATGGTGGTATACACTTGTAATCCTAGCTACTCAAGAGGCTGAGGTAGGAGGATCTTTTTTTTGGGGGGGAGGGTCTGGTCTTGGGGCTTGAACTCTGGGCCTGGGCTTTGCCTCAGCTCTTCAGCTCAAGGCTGGCGCTCTACCACTTGAGCCACAGCGCCACTTCCGGCTTTTTCCTTTTTGCTTATGTGGTGCTGAGGAATCAAACCCAGGGCCTCATGCATGCAAGGCAAGCGCTCTACCACTGAGCCACCTTCCCAGCCCGGAGGATCTTTATTTAAGGTCAGACCAACAAAAGTTGAAGACACTTCCCCTGGAGCTGATGGCTCAGGTGTGTAATCCTAGCTACTCAGAAGGCTAAGATCTGAGAACTAAAGTTGGAAATCAACCTAGACAGACAAATCTTCTAAACTCTTATCTCCAGTTAACCACCAAAACGCTGAAAGCAGAGGTGTGACTTAAGTGTTAGAGCACCAGCTTTGAGTAAAAAAAGTCAAACAAGAGAATGAGGCCCTGAGTTCAAGCCCAGCACAGGTACTCCCCCCCCACCCCAAACAGACAATACCTGAAAAAAAAATTCAAAAAAGGGCTGGAGGCATAGCCCAAGTGGTCAAGGGGTAGGGTGCTTGCTTAGCAAGCTTGAGCCACAGTTCAAATTCTTGTACCATAAAATTAGAGAATGATCATGCACAACGCTGAATTCAATGTTATAATTTCTCTCGGCGAGGGAGAGGTTCTATAGATCAGTTTTTTCCTTTGCTTCCTTGTCCATCTAACTAACATGGACTGAGGGTCTTTCCCCATTGAAATTTCTACAAATTATTTTTCTTTCTCTTGCAGCTAGACCACAGACAGGATGATTAGACTAACAGGTCTGGGTGCCTCAGAAAAGCAAGAGCAACTGGATATCAGTGGCTCATGCCTATAACCTTAGCTATTCAGAAGGTTGAGACCTGGAGGATCATAGTTTGAAGCCAGCTAGAGCAGAAAGATCCATGAGACTTCATCTACAAGATAATCAGCAAAAACTCAGGCTAGAGGCATGGCTCAAAGGGTAGAACACTAGTCAGGCACCAAGGACTCACCCCTGTAATTTTAGGTACTCAGGAGGCTGAGGTCTGAGGATCAAAGTTTCATGAAAGTCCATGAAACTCTTATCTCCAGTTAACCACCCAAAACCCAGAAGTGGAACTGTGGCTCAAGTAGTAGAGAACCAATCTTGGGCAAAAAAGCTAAGGGATAGCACACAGGTCCTGAGTTCAAGCTCTAGTATTGGCACAAAAGAAGATAAAAGGGTAGTGCACCAACCAACTAAGCTAAACAAAGTCAACACATGAACTAACATGTTAAACAGTATTTCTGGATGATCTACTTCAAATAGCCCTGCATTGGTCTGAACAGCTCTGTGACTGAGTTTAAATTAGTATCTAACTCCCTGCAATGACTCTGTATTGGTGTCGGCTCTCTCTGCCTTCTCCCTTAGTAATGCCTCACAGAGCCCTACAGCCACTGTAATCCTTTCTTAGCCATTCTATAAATTTAAAATATTATTTAAACTGCAATATATAATCTGAAAGTAATTAATAGGAGCAAATGAGACTGGGATGGAATAAAAGACTCTGACTATCTAAATGGTTTTCAGCAAAATCAAGAAAACTAAAAAAAAAAAAGAACTTAGTTACTTAAACCTAGCAAATAGATGTATCTGGTGAATTCATCATTATTCAATAAATTCTGACATATGGGGCTGGGAAGGTGGCTCAGTGGTAGAGCACTTGCCTTGCATGCCTGAGGCCCTGGGTTCGATTCCCCAGCACCACATAAGCAAAAAGAAAAAAGCCGGAAGTGG